ACAAGAATCCTCAGGTTTCCATGTCCTCAGCCCTGCCTTGTCCTAGTTGCAAGACTTAGTTTTACAGAGCTGAGCCTACTACAGGGTGAAGGGAATGAAATAATTCAGACTTATACCCATTCCCCTCTCTGCTTCTGTATAAATTATTTCTATGCTTCAAATTCATTTTGCAAGTTAGCCAGAATTTGGAGTGAATCCACTCAGCATTAAAAAACATAGTATTGAATTCTAATTCATATAAACTATATACATCTTGGGTGGTTTAACTTCTTTACATCTATATTCATGTTTATTAAATATAATCCAGAGCCTGATTTGAATTATATTTGTTTCCAAAATGAATATGGAATTAATGTTAATTATATTCTATACACCAATAAACTTGGTAGAATTTCCTTATCACTGATGGCTCCTTTCATCATAGCTAACACATGTTCATTTGTGATTACTTCTTGGAGAAAGGTATCACTTTACTTAATGTAACAAAATTTGCCAGAATGTGTGGACACAATGTATATGAATTTTGTATGCAAACTAATTTAAGGTAAAAACTGTAAAAAGAAGAGCAGTAAGAGCATATACAGTGAGCAATAATATACATTCATATAAGAAGGGAAACCCTTCTTCAAACAGAAAGAAGAAAAAAATTGCCAACCAGACTGCCAGAAAAAACCCTCAATGTATGTCACAATGAGATTTGCTCAAGATAGGGCAGGGTTCAGAGCTATTGTATATAGGGTACTAACAAAAACAACAACAACTTTAAGCTGCATTATGGAACAGTAAGAAGATAAACCAATTTTAATCTGTACTGGTGGTAAAGAATTGCACTGCTAATCCAAAGGTCTGTGATTCAAATCCACCAACTGATCCAAGGGAGAAAGAAGGGCAATCTACTCCCATGCAATTTATAACCTTTGAAAACCCACTGGCGGGTCAGCTATGAGTTTAATCTAACTTGACAGCACATAAACAGTTATACCATGCCTGGATAAGTAGCATATTTTAAAAAGAATTAAGGACAAACTAGATACATTTGGAAGGGGGGAAAGGGTCAGAATGACAAGGGCACTCAAAATCTTTTCACCACCACCACAAGATAAAGGTAAATAACCCAATTGAAAAATGGGCACAGGATATGAACAGGCACTTCACCAAACAAGACATTCAGATGGCCAACAAGCACATGAAAAAATGTTCAAAATCCCTAGCTCTAAAAAAGATGCAAATCTAAACAACTATGAGTTATCATCTCATCCCAGTAAGAACAGCAAAATTTAACAGAAGAGCAAACAACAAATGCTGGTGAGGTTGTGGAGAAACTGGAACCCTTATTCACTGTTGGTGGGAGAGTAAAAACGGTACAACCACTCGTATGGCGCTTTCTCAAAAAGTTGCAAACAGAAATACCATTTGACCCAGCAATGCCACTACTGAGAACATACCCTAAAAAAACCATAACCACCACCCAAGCAGATATATGCACACCTATGTTTATTGCGACTCTGTTCACAATAGCAAAGAGTTGGAAACAACCTAAGTGCCCATCAACAATGGACTATGTTGCATTGAAAAACAAGGAACTCATGCAATATTATACAAAATGGGTGATCCTGGAGGACATTACGCTGAGTGAAATATCTCAGTCACAAAAGGACAAATATTGCAAAAGGTCACTGCTGTAAAACGGGACTGACACTGGGGTTGAGGAGAGACTGAGAAAGGGGATAAATAATGTATACTGCATTGAAATAGATGAGGGAGAGGACTGTTTAAAAGGGATGTATGATTAGGTATTATTGTCATGACAGGAGTCAAGAAGGCTGCATAGTGACGTGGACTTGGGGAAAGGGATTGTATAACAATGAAAGAATTTTTCTTCTACTTTTCAAAGAGAAGAGTGAATTCAGGGGTGGGGAGTGGACAGGGAGAAAAGTGCAACAATGAATGAATGGAAACCCTAAGTCTCTGTGAACTTAGTTCATCAAAATTAATAAAATCTTTTCACAGGAAGAAAAAAAAGTATTTAGTAAAAAAGATTAAGGAAAGGTGCAGAGTTTTCTTCTAATATAAGAAATGTGACAAGGAAAAGAAATGAGATTTCCTCTACAAGGAAGCAAAGAAATAGAATCAGGGCAAACATACAAATAGCAATAGGTATTTTAGGTAGTGGCACAGTGGTACCTGGTTACAGACAAAAAATTTTGGTTTGAATTCACCAGCTGCTCTTCAGGAGAAAAATAACAATACTGTAGTCAGCTTCTATAAAATAAACAGCATTGGAAATCCTGTGCAACAGTTCTACTCTGTTCTACAGAGCTACTATGAGTCAAAACAAAGTTAACTGAAATAAGTCCAGTAGGTTTGAGTTAGAATCAACTTAACAGGAAAAAAAAAACCCAGAGAAAAAAAAGACTTCCTTGGGAAATCTTTTTACAGAAAGTAAGCACAAACTTGACAAATTCATATTAAAAAAAGGTGTAAAATGGTTCCAAGGAAAGAGGGAATTGCTGTTCTAAAATATTGCACAGAGACATGTACATCTATGTTCACAGCAGTGCTATTCATAATAGCAAGAAAATGGAAACAACACAAATACCCATCAACAAATGGAATGAGAAATTAGACTACATCTTCACAACGGAATACTAATGCACCAACTAAGGAACAATACTAAGGAGCAATGATTTTGTAAAATATTACATAACATGTTCATTTTGGCACCACACAGACTAAAATTTGAACGATACTGAGATTAGTATAGCCCCTATGCAAGGATGACACACAAATTCATGAAGCATTCTATTTTTTTTTTTTAAATGCATTTTGAGTCGTGGTGTTGGAGAAGAGTATTGAATATACCATGGACTGCTAGGAAAACAAACAGATTTGTCCTGGAGAGGGTAAGTTGGGCTGCTCCTTGGAGGCAAGGATTCTGAAGCTTCGTCTGACATACTCTGGACATGTTGCAAGGAGGGATCGGTCCTTAGAGAGGGACGTCATGCTTGGGAGGGTGGAGGGACAACACAGGAAAGGAAGACCCTCGATGAGATGGATTGATTCAGTGACTAGGGTAATGGGGATAGGTGTGTCGAAGATGGTGAGATTGGCACAGTATAGGGAGGAGTTTAGGGCTGTTGTACATAGAGCAGAGAGTTAAGGATTGGGGGGGTTGGTTAGTCATAGGGTCAGACAATTTGATGGGTGGAGAGAGGGGTGGGTAAAGGAAACAGGAAAGATCTGGTGTGAAAAAACAA